GATAGAAACAGAATTCATGCACTTGGGTATAAGAGCCACTAGAGCATGATTCCAATACTTAAGCAACTGCCCATATTAAAAAAAAAAAACTAATCACAACATTGCACAAGCTTTCTTTTAACAATGGTTAGAAATGTTGATAGAACAAAGCGGTCATTTCATCTTCTCTCGGGGCCTTAGAAGGATTCATCTGGAATAGAGCTTTTTGAATCTCCAACTCCCCCACTGGTGCTTTTAAGGTTAAGGCCATGGATGGTGTGATGACGTGGCCCATGTTTTGAAGTGCTTCTTCTTCTTGAAGGGAGCCTTCTAAAGTAAATAAATCATCATAGAAAGTGAGTGTGTGCTCTTCTGTCTATCTGAAGATGTAAGCTCTATGTTCCCCTGTACCAGTCTGGTTATGGCATTTTGTTTCCTTCTCTGCATGGTCATGGCATGAAAAAATTTGGTGTTTTGTTCCACTTCTTTAAGCCATATTATCCTGGATTTCTGAAGCCAGAACTATTCTTTAGAGCAGTGAGCTGCATCTAACTCTTTTTGAATTTTATCCCACTCCATCCAGTTCCTCTCACCTCCTAACTTCCTCATATCTACAAGCTTCATGGTGAGGTTTTCAATGACATATCTCTTGTCTGATTTGAGTGATTTATTCTAGTTGAAAAGGGCCATCCTGGTTTTCTTGATTTTTTCTTTAGGTTGAACAATGGAGTCCAATGGTATTATTCAGCTCATGTCTGGCTCACAAATTCTTTCAATCCTTCTCTCTGTATCCATCTCTTATCAAAATGATGAAATCTCTTCATCCTACCTGTTGGTTTTCTTCAATCTTCAACTATCAACAAACTATGGTTTGAGGTACTTTTAAACACATTCTTTATGCTGGCTTGGGGGTGTTTAATCATCCACAGGTATGAAGCAAAGGCCTTGTCCATAACTTCTTCCAGAAACCCCTCTTCGTCTCTGTTATTTCCCCAAGTGAACTTATGTCCCTCCATTTGCAGTAAACACATGCCCTTCTGAGCAATAAATTCATAAAACCCCTGGAAACTTCTATCAGATCCGCTTCTGCCACTTTTCTTCTCCTCATGACAGCTTATATCATTCCAATACCCGTAATTATCCAACAACCACCACATTTTCTTTTTTTTCTCCATAAAAAACTGCCATTGTGATGTAGCGTAACGATAGACGAAAAGGGAACAAGATGAGAAAACTCAATCTGATAAATTATTTCATAAACTTCTGATCGTCTTCAAAAGAAAGAGCCAATATATAGAGTCCCCACTAGGCTAAAATCCTAACTTACCAAATAAATAAATTCCATATAACATGGATTATTCAACTCCTAATTAGGAAAAGGGAAATAAAGCATAATATTAAAATAGATAGGAAATAAATAACTAAACTAAGGACGGTAAACGATCATATTTGTCCATAAATGCCATCGCGATCTAGTCTCCATCATCCTCCCCCGGTAGGGAAGAATTCGCCCTCGAATCCGGACTGATCTTGTCTCCATCGGAGTTATCACCAAGGTAAGGGACTAAATGCTTGACGTTAAAAACGTCAGAAGTCCAAATATGCGACGGTAAACGAAGATGGTAGGCATTGGGATTAATTTTCTCCAAGATCTCAACGGGACCAATATTGCGGGCCGACAGCTTATTGTACTCATGCGTCGAGAAACGATATTTCGTCAAAATTGCCCAGACGAAGTCACACACATCAAACTCGACATGCCGGTGCCGCATGTCCGCCTGCCTCTTGTAGCCCGCGGTCACCGTCTCCAACCGATCCCGGGCGAACTCGTGAGTCCGGCGCAAATCCACCATCAGGTCTTCGGCACGTGGGTCGGCCGCCGTGGCCGATGGCAAGGCCAGTAAATCCGCAGCCCCTCGCGGATGAACCGTATACACCACCTCAAACGGGGAAAATCCCGTCGCACGACTACGAGCCGAGTTATGAGCGAACTCAGTCTGCGGTAGCCCGTGGTCCCAACTCTTTAGATTGTCGCCAACCAAACAACGTAATAAATTCCTAAGTGAGCGATTAACGACCTCAGTCTGGCCGTCCGTTTGAGGATGATAAGAACTACTGAAGTCCAACTGTGTGTTGGCCAGACGCCACAATCTACGCTAAAAATAGCTAATAAAGCGTGTGTCACGGTCAGAAACTATAGACGATGGTAGGCCATGAAGACGATAAACCTCGCGAAAAAATAAAGTAGCCACATGAAGTGCATCCGCGGTTCTCTTGCAAGGAATAAAATGGACCATCTTGGAAAAACGTTCAACGATCACAAAGATAGAATCATTACCTCATTGAGTACGAGGCAAACCCAAGACGAAGTCCATACTAATAGCAGTCCACGGGCGTGAGGGAATAGGCAAAGGCCTGTAAAGGCTAGCATTAGAAGCCACAACCTTCGATACTTGACACATACGGCAACGCTCCACAAAACGAGCCATATCACGGCGCAAAGACGGCAAAAAAAAAGAACGACTCACCAAGGCAACAGATCGATCACAGCCCACGTGCCCAACACCGTGAAGGTCCGCCATCAACTTCAGGCGCAAGCTAGAGTCCGGAATGTACAATCGCACACCACGAAATAAGAAACAATCAGCCAGAGTATAATCGTCAATCGGGCCGAGGCGAGGCGAGTAAAAATGGGCCCAAAAAAAGGGTCCGTGGCATACAGATCCTTCAGCAAATCAAACCCCACAACTTCAACCCGCATATCCGTCAACAACAAAGAACGACGGCTCAAAGCATCCGCCACCCGATTAGAAGCACCCGAACGATGTTTTAGAACAAAAGGGGACTGTTGGAGATAAGATGTCCATGTAGCATGGCGAGAAGAAATAGTACCTTGAGAAGAAAGGTGGAGAAGGGCCTCGTGGTCGGTAAAAATTACAAATTCCCGCTGGAAAAGATAGTTTCTCCAATAATGGACGAAGTGAAACACAACATAGAACTCAATATCATACGTGCTGTAGTGCAAGCGCGGACCCGACAACTTCTCACTGAAGAAAGCGACAGGGCGGCTCTCCTGGCTCAGCACGACACCAATCCCTATCTTCGAAGCATCACACGAAAGCTCAAAGGGGAGAGAAAAATCAGGAAGGACCAGAACAGAGGCAGAGGTATGCTTGTCCTTGATAAGATCAAAGGCGGCAGCGCCCTGAGGGGTCCAAACGAAGGTCTTGCCGTGAAGGTAGTCCGTGACAGGCGCGGTGATAGAACTAAAATGTGAGA